TTTTTCCCTAAAATTTTCTAAAATCATTCTCTTTCAATTTATTTTGTTGGTTTTGTCAATATATACATATGAAAAGTTTGAGCAATTTAAAATTTGAATTTAAAAAAAATGCAACTTCAGACAAGATTTTGGTACCCCAAATGATTTCAGCTGAAAAAGTGATAAATACCAAAGTTGAATAACTCATCAAGATCTACAACTTTTGTATTGGTCATTTCTTCATATGACAAAGTGGTAATGACATTGTTCACAAATATGACACATCTCTCATAAGGTTTTATAAACTATATGAGACATGTGTAAGATTAGTGAACAATGTGTGCTAAGAATTTGTCAAATGAAGAAATGACCAAAATAAAAGTTGTAGATATTCATGATTTGAACAACTTTGGTATTCATCACTTTTTATGTTGAAATCAATTTGGGTCTCAAATTTTAGTTCGAACTTGTCGTTTTTCAAAATTTCAAATTTGAAAGGTTCAAATTTTGTCAAATCATAAGATGACTAAAATAAAAGTTGTATATATTTATGAGTTGAACAACTTTGGTATCATCACTTTTTATGTTGAAATCAATTTGGGTCTCAAATTTTGGTTCGAACTTGTCGTTTTTCAAAATTTCAAATTTGAAAGGTTCAAATTTTGTCAAATGACAAGATGACCAAAATAAAAGTTGTATATCATGATGAGTTGAACAACTTTTGTATTCATCACTTTTACATCTGAAATCATTTAGGGTTTTAAAATTTGGTTTGAACTTGTCAAATTTCAAATTTCAAATTTTAAAATGTGTAAAACATTGTCACATCCAAGTTTGATCAAACTTAAATGCTGAAGCATGATTTTAGAAATTGTTAGGAAAAAAACCATCACATTTGGAGTTAGTATGAGGGAGAACAACTAGTTACAAGGATACAGTACTTGATGTTTCATGCCCAAAAATAATTACATCCAGAAGAAAATGGAAACTGAAGAAGAGGCCCCGTCACCTCGTGCAGCCGCGCGGGGCTGTGAGCAAGCCAGCCAAGGCGCTCATCGACTCCAGCCAGCCACCCAAAAAACCAGGCGCAAATCACAACCTCGCCTCCCGCCCCCTCCCCCGCTCCTCGTTCCCCTCTCGCCGCCCGCCTCCCCGCCGCGATCGAGGAGGCGCCAATAGCTAGGAGAGGGTTTCCTCCTCCCTCCACGGCTCCACCGAGCCCCCCAGCCCCTCCGCCCCTAATCGCTCTCACCCAGTTGGCCGCCGCCCCGCCATGGATTTGGATCTGTGGATCTCCAAGGTCAAGGAGAGCCAGCACCTCGCCGAGCACGAGCTTCAGTCTCTCTGCGAATACGTGAGCTCCCTACCCTTTGAGTAGCTCGTTCCGCCCCTTAGGGTTTTTATCACCTCGTTGCTATCTAGGGCGGTGGCACGCGAGCGCACAGCTTGCGCGGCTGTGGTGCTAGGGTTCTTGGTGGGTGGAGGTAGATGGAGGGGGAAAACGGTTTCCTTTGCTGCGTCTGCTGGTGGTGTCTGTGTGTAACCACGGTCTGCTTTACTAGTTGTCCAGGTGAAGGAGATCCTCATTGAAGAGTCGAACGACGTTCAACCGGTGAATAGCCCCGTGACGGTTTGCGGTGACATCCATGGGCAGTTCCATGACCTGATGAAGCTCTTCGCGACGGGTTCTTGATTGATTGCCAATTGACTATTCATACCCTTTCGCACCTTGTTGACTCACTTTCTCACATTATCTTTCCTGGATTATTGGCTGCTCTACGGATCAAATTATCTTTTAGTTTATCATGCAGTTAAAACTTAAATAATGTATGTTGTTTTGATTTCTGAAAAATACAGATAATATCCTGGAGTTGATCTGAATACGTTTAACCATGGTTGGCATTGTCCACCTAACATATGTGGTAGCTGAATGAGTTTACTGTGTTTGAACATAGAAACAGAAATTTCCTCCCCTTTTTACGCAGCATGAACTACAAGTGTGAAAAGAAACATCCATTCTCATAAATTTTCCAAATGAACCAACATTCTGATGAGATGGCTTTGATTCATAATTCTCATCGTTACTTCAGTTCCCATGTAGAATGTTTCCAAGAATCGTCACTATCTATGGTTAATTCTTGCTGCTGAATGTTCCGATTGCCGTTAGGTATCCTGCACGCATAACCCTTCTGCGTGGAAATCATGAAAGTAGGCAGTTGACGCAGGTATGTTCTTGTATGTGAAAAACAGATAATTGTACACAGTTCATAGTTTTTCTGATTTAGGCCACTTCGGTTGCAACTAAATGCCCTGAGTGGCTGAGTCCAATATATGTTCCCATGATTCTTGTGTTCTGCTTTTTACCTGTGAGCTCAAAAGGTGTTGTATTCATCTGGTTACCCTCCACTGTGCTCTCTTAAAGCACTTTTGGCCATCTGTGGGAAGCATAATATTTAATTTTTTGGTAGTATGAAACAAATTCAGTACATGTTGATTTTATTCTAGGGGAAACAGTGCTCTTACTGATACTGTATCTGTGATTTAATCTTGGCTATGTGAATCTAGGAATGCAAGTTACACATCCATGATTATTGAAGTCTTATGCCTCTCAAGATAACATTATCTGGTAATCAGCCTGTGTGTCATGCTTAGGTTTTGTTTAGCCAGTGCCTGTCAAACTACCTGTCAACATGGCTCTTATTTTATGTGTTTTTTCCTCTGGTTGTGACTTCAAATGGCTTTATCTTTTAGCTCTCGATTTACATTGCATGCTTGTATCTATACTGTACCACAAATAGCCGAAAATGCTTGACATGTTTTAGCTTATCATGCAGGCATACTAATAATGCTGTGACTTATCTTTAGGTGTATGGTTTCTATGATGAGTGTCAGAGGAAGTATGGCAACGCCAATGCATGGCGGTACTGCACTGATGTTTTTTATTACCTTACACTATCAGCAATCATTAATGGCCAAGTAAGTTCCTCTAGGGAAAAAAATACAGGTTGTCATTTTGTGTTATTTCGGCAAGTCATACTTAAATTATATGTTGAATTTAGGTCCTCTGTGTTAATGGTGGTCTTTCTCCCGATGTACGTATTTATTGATCAGGTCCGTGACTTCTCTTCTTTAACTTTCTTATAACCATCTGTGAACACATCTGTTTATGAACCCTTATGACCCTTCCCATTTTATGGGATTCTGAGTTTCATGTCTTGTAGGTTTGCCATACTTGGTGAATACAAAAGTAGAAATATTTTTCACATGGACTATAAAGGATATGCATAGCCTTAAGAATTACAGCTATTTGAAAACTTCACTGTTATCAGTGATATAAATAAAATGCTTCAGTGGATATATGCTGGAAGTTTGGAAATGTTGAATAGTAAACAACAGAAGGGGTATTTATTATGTTGTTTTCAGTTATTTAGTTTTTTCTGTTCTTATTTTCAGCTGGTTGTGCTCACTGTACTTTTTTGGACATGTTTCTGATAGAATTTCCTTTGGTAGTAAGAATGCTTATCATCAATGAACTAGCATTGCTGACTCATTTTGTGAAGAATATTGAGCACATGATTCTGGGGTTGATTCGGTCCTTAGCATTTCTGACTCATTTCTTGAAGAATAGTAGTGTATGATTATGTGGATGATTTTTATTTTGACTAAATGTTTCAATGAGATTGAAGCTTTGATTATCTTTTCACCAGATACGAACGATTGATCGCAATTGTGAAATTCCCCATGAAGGTCCTTTCTGCGACCTTATGTGGAGTGACCCTGAGGAGATAGAGACATGGGCTGTTAGTCCCCGTGGAGCAGGTTGGCTGTTTGGATCGCGAGTCACAGCAGAGGTGTGTATACAATAATATTATTTTATTATTCTGGACTGTTTTTTTATTCGCTCCTTGTGAATGTCACCTTTTGCTATGCAGTTCAACTTTGTTAACGGTATCGAGCTAGTTTGCCGGGCTCACCAGCTGGTCCAGGAAGGTTTAAAGTATATGTTCCAGGAGAAGGGCCTTGTAACTGTGAGTTCTTGTTCACATATAGATTGGCACTCAGATATTGGTTGTATCGTATTATAGTAGTATGCATTTGTATTTCAGTGTGACCATATTGAATTGTTATGATGCCCATATTAACTTCTCTTTTCTTCTCCAGGTGTGGTCTGCACCTAATTATTGCTACAGATGTGGCAATGTAGCTTCTATATTAAGCTTCGATGAGAAGATGGTATGATAGTTCTTTTGTCTTTAAGGATTTGCTTGAAGCATTTTACACACCTAATTACTCTTAAGTCAATTTATACAATAAGTTTAACCCAATCCTCAGAAGGTTTTATTGTGCATTTGTACAAGCAACTTTTATGATGATGTTCTAAATAATGGTCTTGTGTTTGTGGATGTATATATGTATATTTGTGACGGTCAGATTCGAATTTGAATTATATATATATATATATATATATATATATATATATATATATATATATATATATATATATATATATATATATATATATATATGGTCATATTTGAATTTGAATTATTTTTTTTTGGAAAATCTGATTGAGGGCTGTTCTTGATTGAACCGCCTTTTACAAACTCTACCACGCAGGTGGTGGTGATACTGACCGCCTTTCAGAAGTTCACTACAGGCGGTGATATTACTAGCCACCCCTACGAGAGGCCTTTGAGGGCGGCTAAAACACCAGCCGCCCCTCAGAGAAACCTTAGGGGCGGCTGAAAACATCAGCCGCCCCTACAGAGGGCACTACAGGGACGGTCAGTAAACCGCTCCTACAGAGGCACCCTCTGTAGAAACACCCTGAAAAAGGCGGCTGACGCAGCCACCCCTAAAGTTAAATTCTGCAGCAGTGCACCTCTGCAACTATAAATAGGAGGAGAGCTTAGCAGCTCATGCCAGGGCATTAGCACTCGCATCAGACTCCGTAGTGCCAGTGATCAGCTAGAGCTAGCTCACACTAGCTACAAGCTCAGACGTACAATCGAGCGCGCACCATGCAAGGTTCCATGGTGAATGGCACCGGCCGCGTCCAGGTCATCTCGAGGCGCGTGGTTCACGCCGAGCCGCCGCCGGTCCCGTCGTCGGTGCCGAGGACCATCCACCTGACGCCCTGGGACCTCCGGATGCTGAGCCTCGACTACATCCAGAAGGGCGTCCTCCTGCCCAAGCCCGAGCCCGACCGCCGCGTCCAACCGGCCGAACTCGTCGACCACCTCGCGTCAGCGTTCGCGCACGCGCTCGGCCGCTTCCACCTGTTCGGCGGTCGCCTGGCCGTAGACGAACGCGCCGACGACGGGACCATCACCGTGTCGCTGTCGTGCACGGGCGAGGGCGCCGAGTTCGTCCATGCGGCGGCGCCCGGCGTCACGGCCGCCGACATCTCCGGCGCGCTGTACATTCCCCGCGAGCTCGTGGCGTCGCTGTTCCCGCTCAATGGTCTCTCCAGCGCCGACGCCGCGTCGTCCGTGGACGACGGGGAGGACTCAGACTCCCGACGACGACGGGCGCCGCTGCTGGCAGCGCAGGTCACCGAGCTGGCCGACGCCGTGTTCGTCGCGGTGTCGCTCAACCACGCCGTCGGCGATGGCACCACTTTTCGGCACCGTCAACACGTGGTCCGACTTGAGCGGAGCGGCGGCGGCGCTGGCGCTACGACTATGAGCCCACACCCGCTGCCGGTGCTCGAGCGCTGGTTCCTCGACACCTGCCCCGTGCCGGTGCCCCTGCCGTTCGCCAAGCTGGAGCACGCCATCCGGGGATACGATCGCGCAACGACGCTGCACGAGTGCTTCTTCCACTTCTCCGCAGAGAGCGTGAGGAAGCTCAAGGCCGCGGCGAACTCGGAGGTGCGCTCCGGCGAAGGCGGCGCGGACGCGGCCATGGTAGTCACCACCATCTCCTCCCTGCAGGCCCTGCTGGCGCACCTCTGGCGGTCGGTGTCCCGAGCCCGGCGCCTAGAGCCGTCGCAGGAGACCGCGTACGTGCTCCTCATCGGGTGCCGGGGCCGGGTGAAGGGCATCCCGCCGGCGGGGTACGTCGGCAACGCGGTGGTGCCCTGCAAGGTGACGTCGACCGCCGGCGAGATCCAGGCCAAGGGGCTGGGCTGGACCGCGTGGCGGCTGAACCGCGCCGTGGTGTCGTTCGACGAGGCGGCCCTGGTCAGGGAGTCGGTCAAGCGCTGGGTGCGGGAGCCGCGGCTGGCGTACAACACGGACATGCTGAGCGTGGCAGCCGTCGGCACCGGGAGCTCGCCGCGGTTCGACGTGTACGGCAACGACTTCGGCTGGGGGAAGCCGCCGCTCACCGTGCGGAGCGGCCCTGGAAACAAACTGGACGGCAAGACCTCCGTCTTTGAGGGCCGTGGTGGTGGCGGCGCAATGGCGCTGGAAGTGTGCCTCGCTCCCAACACGCTTGCGAGGCTCGTCGCCGACGGCGAGTTCATGGACGCGGTCACCGTGCCGTGACTGTGATCTCGCTGTCATCTCGTCGGGAACTCGGAATTGAGAGGCCTCGTGTTACCGGCTTACCGGCCGTGTCCTTTTACAAATAACGTCCAAGTGCAGGGTAGTGCACTCTATGCACTATTGTGCACGTGTTAAATGATCCTCTGATGCATTCATCTCGGATTTTTGTAAGCAAATCGTTCATTGAGAATAAAAGAGAACACAAGAAGTTTCTAAAAATGTGCCTGACTGGCATGACATGTAAGAATGATTACTTCACTTCGCTCTTTTCTAATTTGTGGAGAGCAGCCGCTAGCAATGGTGTTTGGTGTCACTGCCACGCTGAAGACGGCCGCAGCGGTTTTCTTGAAGCAGCGTTGGTAGACGTGTTCCCCCATCCCGGATGCTTGGGAAACTTTCGAGAATGATAATTTTTTTATGGATTTGGTCAAGTACTCAAGTTTGTATTTGTACAGTGACATCAGAATCTTTTTTATGCGAGATGCTGAAATTAATAGCGTGTTTGGATTGCACCCCCGATCCGAGCCTACATCCGATCCTACTAAGGCCCTGTTCGCTTCGTGGGGAATGACATCCATGAAGAATTCCCGGTTGGATCGGTACTTTCATTTATATTAGCTTTCCAGGGCTGAAATCGTTCCTGGCATCGAATCGGCTCAAACGAATGGAGCCTAAACTTTTTTTTTTGGACTGTGGCACTGTCGACGAAATTTGGTCGGCAGTCTACCGAGGTGTATACTCATGGTAGTAGATGAATCGGTGAAGGTGCGCGTGATACGAACCAGATGTTAACAGAGACACAAGACACAAGATTTATACAGGTTCAGGCTGTGAGCTTGACGTAACACCCTATATCCTGTGCTCTGTACTTTTTATATTGACTGTGAATCAGATTCGATATATACCGTTTAGGGGACCCCTACCTCTCCTTATATACTCTGGAGGGGTAGGGTTACAAGGAAAATATCATATTTTGTATTATACAATAAATCACATATTCATGTAGTCTTGCGGTGCACACCTTGATCTTGTGGGCTGGACCACCTTTGGTGGTGTGGCCCATGTCTTGTCTTGTGGATACCGGGGGTCATATCCCCCACAGCTAGTTCCCGAGTGCCATGTATCCGTTTGGCGACGCCGTATTGATCAAGTACGAGTAGTTTAACACGAAGTCGATCAGTTTTGCTGACGACCTAGACGGTGAAAATCGAAGTCAACCTGTTAAACTGGTGACCTGGGCGGTGAGAGTCGAAACCAACCTGTTAAACTGGTGACCTGGACGGTGAAAGTCGAAGCCGACCAGTTAAACCGATGACCTAAGCGGTGAAAGTCGAAGCCGACCAGTTTAACTGGTGAACTGAGCGGTGAAAGTCGAAGCCGACCAGTTTCACTAGTACGTAGATCTCGGACTTAGCCAAATAAGGCTCGTCGGAAAGATGTAAGGGGTTCAAGATAAAAATTTTAAAATTCTCCACCTTAGGTGAAGTGTAGCCACTTAGTCATCCATGATTTAGTCAAATAAGGAGGGTAAATCAAGAAACGAGCACTACATTCACCGCTTGGTGAAGCGTAGCCACTTAGTCCCCGAGTATGCTAGAAGATAAAGAATGAATCTTGTAGCAGGGTAAAAAAAAAAGCCTGAAAGCTTGCCAATGTCATCTGTCATGTGCGTATCAAAACCCCAGACGTGCTGTCCAAGATCAGCACCCTGATTCGAACAGCATGGAGCAAGCTGATAGCACACCGATGAGACATAGCAAGATCTGACCGCCAAGGGAGTCTCCAGCTTACCTGGCGACTCTTGTACAAAGAATCCGAACGCTGAGTCCCCAGCTTATTTGGCGATGAAGCGACGAACAATTCAAACACCGAGAAGTCCCCAGCTTAGCTGACGAGCCCCCAGCGTAGCGGACGATGAAGCGACAAACAATCCAAACGCTGTGGAGTCCCCAGCTTAGCTGGCGAGCCCCAACGTAGCTGACGATGAAGTGATTGACAATCTGACCAGTTAGTTGGCGAAGAATCGAGCACCGAGCAGTCCAACCAACTAGTCGACAGTGAAGTGAGCGCCGAGTAGAAGTGAACGCCGAACAGTCTGATCAACTATTCAGTGACGAAGTCTATGAACCTAGCGGTCCAACCGGTTGATCGGCGGAGAAGTCCGAAGGCCAGGTGGTGCGACCACCCAGACGATGATCCTATAATAAATATGTAGAATGAGTAGTACATGATGTAAAAATAAATATATGAATTTGGCGATGAAGGCAGCACAGCGGAATAGATAGACATTATGTTTGTATGAAGTGTTCATATTTTAAATATGAGTAACTTCCTGCCAGTTGGTTATGTATCGCATCACCAGCCCCGACTAGCCCATACTCCATAGCGTAGAGTGCTTAGCACCTGTTTACGCGTAAGAGCACAGCCGTCGCCGAGGAGCCACTGCCGACCAACCATAACGCACAGGGCTGGCGCTCGTGCACGTGTAGGAGTGAGATCGAGAACATGGCTTTTTTTTGGTAACGCAAGTGAGAACATGACTAGTCGGCGAGTTGATGAAGAATATCTTAAATATATTGTAAACATTAAGTTTTCTTTTGGAGATGTATTTATATTTAATATAAACTGTCCCGAGCCGTTAGTTTGTTGGTTGAGCCCCCCAGCCCTGGCTATCCCACACGCCATGGCATAAAGAGCTTAGCTCGTGTGCACGCTTAGGAATATAGACATCACCGAGGAGCCATCGGCGACGATCCGTAACGTAGAGGGCAGACGCTCGTGCACGTGTAAGGAGAAGCCAGAGACATGGCCGTCTCTGGAGAGCACAAGCGTAAACGTGGCTGTTCGAGGAGCCGTTGAGGTGAAAGCGTATGTCATCTTTAAGATTGTACACATGAAAAAAAGTTGTTTGGAGAATAATCATGTAGAGAATAGTATGAAGAAACATCATGGCAAAAACTTTATTAAATATTCATATATAAAAAGGTACTTATCTTTAGACATAACGTCTGGTCGGCGGCGATGAAATTGCCGGCCCTCGAGCTTTCTGGCATGTCATCATCGCAGCGGTCGTGGTCGTTGTAATGTTGTTCTTCGTGGCGATCATTACGACGCGGCAGGCGATCGGAACAAGTAGTCCGGTTGGCTCGCTTAGTGGCTCACTTGACGGCTCGGACGGTTCGTTTGATGGCTCACTTAGCGGCTTGTTTGATGGCTCGAGCGGTTCGCTTAGCGGCTCGCTCGTGGCTCGCTATTGCGAAAGCTATTGTATCTGGCTCCGATCTCCCTTGGTGCTTGTTTGTACTCGGGTCGGAGAAAAAACAGACGAGCAGTATCAAGTCTGAACACGAGCTTGCCTTATGCAAACATGTCTGAGTGCACATGTTCACATCTCGTAGCTTGCACGTCTTCTTAGTATGTACGTGCTGGTTGTTTGTAGCAAGAGTATCTCCAAGAGTTTGCCAAATCCACTTGCTATCCTTCTTTTTTTTTTTGGCAAAACTAGAAAATTGACCCTCCAACAGTTTGGCAAATGACTTGGCATCTTTTGGCAACTTGGCATCGAGCAGCACCGCACGCGCATATTTGCGCGCGGCCAAGTCACTTGCCATTGCGATTTCGGCCTCCGCCGCCTCCTCGCCCGCGCGCGCCAGGACACTTCATGTGCTCGTTCCCGCGCGACCCAGGACTCGTAGCAGAGATAAATCCCCGCGCGCCCTGGACTCCCAGCGATCAGACGAGGAGTCGGTCCCAGATGAGGAGTCACGCAGTCGCCGCGCGCCGGCCTGGCAAAGAAGCTTCGACAGCTGCTGCGTGGTGTAGGTATGTTCTTCCTCGACCTAGGGTTATTATTTGGTGGTGATAGCTAGAGACAGTGCCCTTGATCTGAGAGTCAAGGTAGGGTTCATATTATATTGTTTCTGTACTATGCCATCAACTATAGTGTTTCTGTGAACTTGCACAGCTTCCTGTCATATCACAACTTTTGATGATCAAGGCATTGTGTTTCTGTGAACTTGCACAGCTACCTGTCATAGTGTCATGTGAAGTACTAGTAGCGTTATTTTCATTTGTACACAGTTTTCAATCAACAGATGTACCTATGCACTATTTTATTGCCATAGTGTTAAAAACAAATCACCATGTTTGTCATCAATAGTATTATGAAATTACTGTGTTTATTACTTCATTAACCGTGTGGGTCATCAATTTTTTTGTAGACTAGTCAAGATGGATGGAGAAGATGGAAATTTCTTGTCGGACATTCTTCTCAATGGAGAAGATGGTACTGTTGCTGGTTTGGACGACATGAACTTTGGATTCACTCAAGACACTCGTACTCATGACGAAGTGCAAGCTAGCCGCAATACAAAGGGAGCCAAGAGGACAAAGAATTTTCATTGGAAGGAAGACGAAGTTGTATGCTCGGGCTGGTTGAATGTTAGCAAAGATCCCATTAATGGTGCCAATCAATCTTGTTCAACTTTTTGGGGAAGAGTTCATGCTTACTTTGAGAAGCACCAGAAAACTACAGCTGAGAGGACAAAGAGTTCCATTTTGCATAGGTGGCTAACAATTCAGTTTCAAGTGAACAAGTTTTGTTCAGCCTATGAGGCCATTCTACGTAGGAATCAAAGTGGGTTAACTATCGAAGACAAGGTATGTAACATGTGTTGTTTTTACTTTAACTTTGATTATTTGTAAATGATATATAAACTGACAATTTCCCTGTACAGATTAACGAAGCAAAAAAGTTGTATGTGGAATTAGACAAGGACAAAAAAACTTTTGGTCTTCTACATTGTCGGACCATATTGAAGGAGGAAGACAAGTGGAAAGCGAAGATGATAGAACTTGCTGAGCTGGAGAAAGAGAAACAAGCAATCAAGAAAAAACAGAAGGTGTCCAGGCCGTGGGAGGAAGAAGCCACTAATAATGATCAAGTCGTAGAAGTTGATGCTGAAGAAACTGTACTAAGGAAAAGGCCAGAAGGGATAAAGAAGGCAAAAGAAAATTTGAGGCGTGGAGGTGGCGAGGCTTGCATGGAAGCTTTGGACAAGATGATGGCAAAGAAGGAGGTCTTGGACATGGAAAAGGAGAAGGCCAAAGAGGAGAGGTTCATGGCTACACTAGAGCTAGAGAAGGCTACACTAGAGCTAGAGAAGAAGATGGTGGAAAATGAAGAAAAAAAAGCAGAAGCGAAGCTACTCAAAGAGGAAAAAGAAATTATGTTAGTGGACATGTGATCCCTCAACCCGATCCAGCGTGAATGGCTTGAGACGATGCAGAAGAAGATTGTCGAGAGGCAGCATGAAAATTAAGTTTAGTTCTTATATAAGTTTAGTTATGAAACCTTTAGTTCAAGGTCTTGTTATATGAGTTGTTCCACAGGTGCTAATATAAATCAGGATGATGGTTCCACAGGTGCTCGATGAGGTCTTCTTTCAACTGCAAATGAGTTTCCTTGTCTCTGATCCTTCTGTGCGCATCAATGTATTCATCAAGTGTACGAGTAGGTTGGCCATGAGCAGGTTCTACATTTTCACCACCATAATCAAAACGCTCGTTAGGGTCAACCACAAATCCTTCATCTTCCACAATCATGTTGTGCATGATCACACAAGCCCTCATGATCTTTGATAATGTCTGTATGTCCCAAATGCGAGCTGGCCCTCAAACAATGGCAAACCTAGATTGAAGAACCCCAAAAGCTCTCTCGACCATCTTCCTCGCTGCTTCCTGCGCTCTGGCAAAATATTGGCTCTTGTTCCCCATAGGAAGAGTGATCGACTTGACTAAAGTAGCCCATGTGGGGTATATGCCATCTGCAAGATAATAGCCCATTGTGTAATCATGGCCATTAACCGAAAAGTTCACTTCTGGAGCTCTACCTTCTGCCAAGTTATCAAACAAAGGAGACCTATGAAGAACATTGATGTCATTGTGAGACCCGGGCATTCCAAAGAAGGCATGCCATATCCAAAGGTCGTTCGAGGCAACAGCCTCCAAAATGATAGTGGGCTTCTCCACGTGCCCCTTGTACTGACCCTGTTTTTCGTATGGACAGTTCTTCCACGCCCAATGCATACAATCTATGGACCCTAACATTCCTGGAAAGCCTTTTTGCTCACCGATTGCAAGTAAGCGTGTTGTGTCCGCCTCATTGGGATATCTGAGGTACTCTTCTCCAAACAGTTCATCAACTGCATCAACAAACCTCCGTAGGCTCTCAAGTGCAGTACTTTCGCCAATGCGAACGTACTCATCTGTCGCATCCGCGGGAACCCCATAGCTGAGCATACGCATTGCGGCAGTGATTTTTTGGAAGCAACTCAAACCAAGTACATTGGCCACGTTCCTTTTCTGCACAAAGTAATCATCATGTCCTTCAACAACTTTCATTATGCGTAAGAAAAACTCCCTACACATCCTGTACCTGAACAAAACAAAACTAAAGTTTAACAACTCGACTAATATTTAAACACAGACAACAAGTCAATCTGAAGTGAAAGAACAGTAACCTTCGACAGAATATTTCAGGGCCGTATGTTGGATTTACGGCCAAATAATCTTGAAACATCCTCTCGTGGCCACCTTCTCTATCACGGTAAAGAACTCTGTGACCTGGGACAGAGCCACCGTGTTTTTTTTCGCATTGGCAGCGGTGTCCACAGCGATTCTGTGACCGCTAATATCTCAAAATCATCATCATCGGATGATGAATCATCCAACATCTTGAAGAAGGGATCTCTTCCTAGGCATTGTTCTTGACCGACAAATGTTCTAGAATATGAATAACCTAGATCACACGGAGGCGGATGGGACCTTTCCTCGGTACATTGCAAGAAAGCGAAGCATATAGGTGTTGCAATACAATATCGACAAACTAAATCGAAGATATGAATATCGATGATGGCCACCACTACAATATCGAGAAACAGAAAGAGACTTCGGCAAAACTATGAGCTACTGAACCGATGGGGAAGATCACCTTGAGGTCTTGGAGGAGATGGGCACCTAGCTTGGTGGATGATGCAGCGATGTTGGGTGCCTAGCTCGATGTAGGAGATCGATGATGGCCACCAGCGATGACGCAGCGCGGCGGAGGAAGAGATGTCAGTCCGTGGAGGTGGCGCCCTTCACGCCCGCACGGAGTAGGTCGCGTGGCCAGGTGAGGAGTCGCGGCGCGTGGCCAGGCGAGGAGTCACGGTGAAAAACAGTTGATCCGGTTTGCAAGTGGGCCTACTTTTTTAATTTTGTCAAGCCCAAATGGCAAACTATTGGAGATACTATCTTTTTTCACTTGCCATATGTTTTAGGCACTTGCCAAATCACAAGATTTGCCAAGTCAATTTTGGCAAACTCTTGTAGATGCTCTAAGGCTCTTGATAATTAGCTTTCTTGCTTGGCATCTTCTTGCATGGTACTGGTTGGATCCGACTCCGCCCGATGCGGACAGCACAGCAGATCCATAGCCGATCATCCTTGACGTAGCGCCTTCGGCTTGTGGAACGCCTTGAGAGCGTCAACCGTGTAGGAGTGGGAGTTGTGGGTGAACATTATGTCCTCGCCCCTCGTCTCGCTTCTCGATCTTCGTGGGCTACCACTACGTAAAAAATAGTTTGTAGCAATGGGACAAATTTTTTTTGAGGGACGGTGGTGATGGAGCCGCCTCACGAGTGGCGTGCTTAGGATCCACGAGACCAGCCCGCTTCTACAAATGGAAGCAGAAGGTGGCGGTGGTGATACTGAGCCACCCCTACAAATGGGTAGGATTTGTAGGAAGCGGCTCACTCACCCGCCCGCCACCGGTGTTGCTATTTATAAAGGCGGATCGGTGATTGAGCCGCCCACGAATGCCCCACGATAAATATCTAGGATTTGTAGGGCGGCTCAATCACCACCGCCCCTATAAATGTCCTGATATAAATGGCTGCAGCCCCTTCTTTCTCCTCGGGTCACTCACTCCAACCCGTGAAATAAAGGTGGGGAGGCCTTGGGCACCTCCCAAGAATTGCTCTACTAAGGGGGAAGGTTTTGGTCTTAAATTCTTTGGTGGAGAGGTTGTAGAAGGTAAGAAAATGCTCTTCCATACTTTTTTGAAGCTTTAATGGTTGGTTAGTGAGTAATTAGAGTTTTATTTTTCTCTCTCTTCTATGGTGCTTGAGCTACTTATGAAGCAAATTAGACCTAAGTTTTGAATGTACTAGGGTAAATTAGGTAGGGGAACAAGATCATACCCTTATTTGGTCCATGTTTCTTGATTTTAGTGAACAATTAGTTAGTTTTATGAATGTTTCATGTGCATGTACATCTAGATCTAGGGTTTGGTTTTTTATTAATTTTGTTTTTGTAAATTTATGTTTGATGAAATTGGACTAGGGTTTGCATAAAAGATATTGGGTAAAATATAATTGTTGCTAATTGTTGTCTTTGAAATTGTTTATTGTAATCAACAAATATGTATTTTAATTATTTATGGATAAATGGGCCATTAATTAATTTCCCTCTACCATGGTGTGTTTGTATGCTTCATGTAATTATATTTGATTTATATTCATATATATCTAAAGTATATACAATTATTCTTAAGTAATTATTAATTTGATTCATTTTTATATATATCTGAATAAGTAGTCCTTTAATGTTTGTTTTGTTGTTGTTGTAAAAGATGAAGTATAGAAACTCTTGGTTGTATGGTTCGTTAAGGTTCAAGGTAGGTTTCTGTGAAGAGGTGGATAAATTTATTGAAGTCACAAAGAAGCATGTAATGACGTTGACAGAGAATAAGGATACAATTATTTGTCCCTGTAAAGATTGCAAGAACCGTATGACATGGACAGATGTGACTATCATCAGATCACATTTGATTATGTGAGGATTTGTTGAGGACTACATAGTGTGGATTCATCATGGTGAAATGGTTATCGTTAACGACAAGGATGAGGAGGAATACGACGACGAAACCTTAGAATCCCTGTCCCAATATTCAGCAGAGCTTGATGCACGAATGAATTCCGAGTTTGGCAATGAACAAGGTGGTGATGCTGGTGGTTGGGATGGTAACAACGAAGGTGGTGCCAATAATGATGGTGGAGCACGTGTCGGGGATAAAGATGATTTGGAGGACATGATTGGACCCCTTAGACCAAAGATTTTACAAAAGAGTCCGAAAGGTCTAAAAAATTTGGAAAGGGTAACAAAAGCTTCGAAGGAGACTGTGTATGGTGTTGAAAAGAGCTGTCCGACATATTGGACATTGCTACATTTTGTGCTTGAGCTACTCATTCTGAAGACTAAGTATGGCTGGTCAGACTGTAGTTTCAATGATCTATCGCATCTCCTGTCATGGGTGCTGCCACAACCAAACTCAGTTCCTGCCAACACATACCAAACAAACAAGGGGTTGAAAAAAATCCATGCATGCCCCAACCACTGTATACTTTTTCATGGCAAAACGTTCAAGTCACTGGATAAATGTCCCCGGTGTGGGGCCAGCCGGTACAAGAACAATGACCTTTACGGTGGGGACGAAGCCTCCATAGGGAAAAAGAGGAATAAGAAGGGTACAAAAAAGGTGGTACAAGAATATCAGCCCCAGATGACACTCCATTAGGCAACGATGCAAAGCATAGAAGAATTCCTGCCTTGGTAATGTGGTACCTGTCAGTGACCGACCGCTTGAGACGTATCTTCCTAAACCCTAAAGAAGTCGCACTCATGACATGGTGGGATGATGAGCGCAAGGTGGATGATGATAAGATTGCACACCCGGCTGATTGTAGTCAGTGGCAAAGGATCGATGAGAAGCACAAATAATTCAGCGATGACCCAAGGAATGTATGGTTTGGCTTGAGCACCGATGAAATGAATCCCTTCAATGAGACGATGAGCAACCACAACACTTGGCCAGTGATCTTGACCATGTACAACATCCCAACGTAGTTGTGTTAGAAGAGAAAGTACCTTCTCCTCACTATTCTTATTTCTGGCCCTAAACAACCAGGCATTGATATAGACGTGTTCCTTGAGCCTTTGATGCAAGAAATGGAGAGGCTATGGAGGCATGGGGAGCCGATGTACGATGCATTCCAAAAGGAGGACTTCATATGTAGAGCAATAATATTTGTTACTACCAATGATTACCCCACGCTGTTTGCTTTGTCTGAACAGATCAAAGAGAAGACGGGATGCTTGGTTTGCTTGGATGGTACTACGTGGGTGTTCCTGGATGCATCAAAGAAGA